GGAGGCCTATAGTTCTTTTAGGTTTCTTTGATGAATAGAAAGTTCAGAAGAACAGCTTTTATCTCAAATATAGCTACATTTTTGTAGCATGTATAAATGTCTTTATCATAACTTTTGATCAATTTAAATGCATCCTTGATAAATAAAAGTATTAATTTCTGTAATTTCATAATTTAATAATAAATATATAACGATTTAAATATACTGACTCCAAGCGGACAAAACTCCAATGGAATAGTGTATAATGTTACAAAAGCTTTTTATTTCAGATAAATGCTGATCTCTGGATCTTTCTATTAATCAAAGAATCCTGAAAAAAATGTACTCAACTGTTAAATATTGATAATAATAATAATAATAATCAGAAATGTTTCTTGAGCAGCAAATCAGCATATTAGAATGATTTCTGAAGATCATGTGACACTGAAGACTGGAGTAATGATGCTGAAAATTTTTATTTGATCACAGAAATAAATTATATTTTAAAATATATTCAAATAGAAAACAGTTATTTTAAATAGTAAAAAAGTGTTGTCATAAAGTATAACAGGTTTAATAACTTTTTCCTTATAACAAAAAGAACTGAACATTTACATAAAATAAAGTAATACACAAAAAGTATAAAGTAAAAAATTTCACACAGATTAAAGTGCAAAAGAATTATAAAGACCAATAAGTAACACTTTACAATAAGATCTCATTAGTTAACCTTAGTTAATGCATTAACATTAATTATGAGCAAAAGCTACATTTGCTGCAGAAGTTATTAATCTTTGTTTAAAAATACAATCGTTACTTCATTAAATAACAGCTGCAACTTTTTATTTTAACAACGTTATTAAATATTGAAATTACTTAAGATTAATGAATGTTTAGAAGAATTTTTCATTGACAGTTTATGTTTACTAATGAATTAACTAATGTCAATTACTAGAGCCTTAATGTAAAGTGTGACCAAACAATAAAGAATCAAAACATTTTCAAACAATATCTAGGGCATGTTGTAGCATGTTAAAATGTAAAAAAAGTTTGAAAATAAATAGCCTATTAAGTCTAAATATTTAAGTATTTGGCGCTGTGATGAACACCACTGCGAATACAAAAATCTGAATGGCTATTTAAACCATTTAAATACATTTTAGAAAGTAGTGCAGCTTGTGCAATTAGTGTGCAATTGTGCAAGTACAATCCGTGCTTGTTTACATCAGAGTGCACACGCATCTTTAACGCAGCATACAGCGGTGTTGTGCATGGTGATCAGTTGATGGGAAAAGTATTCTTAAAATGCATTAAAAAAATCGGAATAATTTGTTATAAGTAATTATTCACTGTATTTTGAAGTGCCCACGATAACAATATCATGCATGTTCATTATCGTGATATATCGCATTACCGAATACCGGCACATGTCTAGATCAAATAAATGCAGGCTTGGTGAGCAAAAGAGAATTCTTTAAAAACATTAAAAATCTTACTGTTCAAAAACTTTTGACTGGTAGTATATTATCTTGTTTAATGTAAATACATGACGGATCTCTCATAGAGTTTCACTCAGAGCCTGAAGAGACGGATGTCTTTGAAGAACATTCTGTACTCCTGTGGAGTGACGTATGAGATCGTGTCCAACATACCAAAGGTACAAACTTCACACTGTTTCCTCTTCATGTTTGTCTTTCTGAATTCACTGATCACACACCTGCTGTATTCATGAACAGGCGTCTGAGGAGCCAGAGGAGCGCGAGACTCTGGCCTTGATGGCGGCGCGAGGAGAGAGCGAGGAGACACTCGATGGAGAGACATACATAGAGAAATACACCAGAGGAGTCCTGGAGGTGGACAATATTCTGTGTCTGGAGAGACTGCGGCAGGTTTGGCTTCACTTTAGGACAGATTTCTCTCACTATCCGCTGGAGTGTTTTGTAGAGTTCGACCGATATAGTTTTTTTTTTTTAATCTATACCGATTATTTGCATGATTTTGTGCACAATAACCGATATTCAGAACCAATATTTATTTATTGTTTTACTTCTATCTGCTGTTTCTGTTAGTGTTTAATAGAGATCGAATGATATTGAGTTATTTGCATGTTTATATGCCCGATAACCGATATGCAGAACCAATATTTATTTAGTTTTTTTTTTACCGATTTTGTTTTTTATAACCGATACTGATACAGACTATTTGCATGTCTATGTGCTGATAACCGATATGCAGAACCAAAGTTTATTTATTATTTAACTTCTAACTGCTGTTTCTGTTGGAGTGTTTAGTAGCGATAGACCGTCATTGATTTTTTTTTATTAACCAATGCCGATATAGATTATTTGCATGTTTATGAGTCTGATAACAGATATGCAGAATCATTATATATTTAGTTTTACTTCTGTCTGCTGTTTCTGCTGGAGTGTTTAGTAGAGTTCGACCGATATAGTTTTTTTTTTTTTTTTTTTTCGATACCGATTATTTGCTTGTTTTTGTGCACGATAACCGATATTCAGAACCAATATTTATTTATTGTTTTACTTCTATCTGCTGTTTCTGTTAGTGTTTAGTAGAGCTCGAACGATGCTGATTTTTTTTAGATATTGTTTTTTTTTTTTTTTTTTTTCGATACCGATTATTTGCTTGTTTTTGTGCACGATAACCGATATTCAGAACCAATATTTATTTATTGTTTTACTTCTATCTGCTGTTTCTGTTAGTGTTTAGTAGAGCTCGAACGATGCTGATTTTTTTTAATAACCAATACAGTTATTTGCATGTTTATATGCCCGATAACCGATATGCAGAACCAATATTTACTTAGTTTTTTTATAACCGATACTGATACAGATTATTTGCATGTCTATGTGCTGATAACCGATATGCAGAACCAATGTTTATTTATTGTTTAACTTCTAACTGCTGTTTCTGTTGGAGTGTTTAGTAGCGATAGACAGACATTGATTTTTTTAAATAACTAATTCCGATATAGATTATTTGCATGTTTATGAGTCTGATAACAGATATGCAGAATCATTATATATTTAGTTTTACTTTTGTCTACTGTTTCTGCTGGAGTGTTTAGTAGAGATCGACTGATATTGTCTTTTTTTTTTTTTGCAGAATCAATATTTATTGTTTTACTTCTATCTGTTGATTCTGCTGGAGCTTTTAGTAGAAAACGACTGATATTGTTTTTGTTTTTTTTGTAACCGATACGGATACAGATTATTAGCAGGTTTATGAGCCCAATAACCAATATGCAGAACCAATATTTATTGTTTTATTTCTATCTGCTGTTTCTGCTGGAGTGTTTAATAGAGATTGACCGATATTGGGTTTTTTTTCTAATCGATAACGACTACTTTACCTGAAACCTTTAACTCAAATCTCAAAACGATCACATGATGGCGGCATTTATTGGTGAATCCAATATTACAAAAAAATATCCAATTATGAAAAATGCTTAAATATCATGAAAGATATCAGTCAAACCGATTATCGGTTGATCACGCGTTTAGTGTGTGTTTGTGTGTTTGTTCAGGCCGTGACGGTGAAGGAAGCTCTCTCCGCTAAAGGCAGACACATACGGCGCAGTCTCAGCACGCCCAACGTCCAGCACGTAAGACCAGATCTACCGTTTACTAGTGTACAGAAACAAAATACCGTGCATTGTGTAACAGGACTATAATATATATTTGTTTAGAGCTCTTGTTGTAAATCGGACGGGACCGGATGTGAGGATGAGGATGTAAAGGTTTGTGATCACTTACTATAGACAGTGTGTTTGTTCTGAATGTCTCTGTCTGAGCGTTGACTTTATTTCCACAGACTCACTGCGATGGTCACACAGACGTCACCGAATCCAACTTACATGAAACTTCACTCAACAGTCCTCTGTCAAAAGACACGCCTGTCAAAAACAAAGAGAATCACGGTAAATTGTGAACCTGGCTTTCACCCGAGATTATTTGAAAGACTTTTTTTTTTAAGCAAGCATTCTAATTTTATAAAACCCATTACTGTAGTTAAAACAATATTAAATTATTGAAGATTATTACTAAACAATTTAAACAACTAAACAATTTATTATGATTATTAAACCAAAAATATTTGTTTAAAATAATTTTTCATAATTTGAAAAACAATTCTTATTGGTGTTAAATGGTACATGTAACTTTTCAGCAATTAAAAATAAAAGAAAATAGTGAATAAAAAATTTGATTGTTATTATTATTGTTATGAACTATTATTTTATAATAATAATAACATTTATTATGTAATTTCTAAGAGTGTTGAAAAGCTACATTTACAATATTTTCTCCATTGTGGGCTTATCTTCCACCTTGACCTTTTTCTTTTATAGTGCATTTAAGCAGCCTTATGCATCATTTCATGCAAACGTTTTCCTCAGGATTAGTATATATTCCTCAGAATTAGGATTAGTACATTATTATTATTAGTAGTAAATGGTACTTTTCAACACTTATAAAAATAAAATTCAAATAAAGAAATATTTATAATTAAATAGAAATTATGATTGTTCTTATAATAATAATAATAATAATTTTTAATAATAATAAAATATTATTATTTTAAGAGTGCTAAAAGGCTACATTTACCATAAATTTCTCAATTTTGGGTGTCAATATTTTCAATTATTCTTTGTAGTGCATTTAGACACCCTTATGCATCATTTCATGCAAACATTCTCCTCAGGATCGGTGACACACAGACACACACACACGCGCGCACGCACGCACACACACAAATACACAAATACTCAATGCTTCGTTCCCATTATGTGTTTCATTCTCACACACCATTCATGTTGTGTTTCTACCCACCACATTCTCACATATTTTATGATTTGACATTGATTCAGGCTCTGATGCCTGTCTTCAAGTGTTTTTAAATGCCTCTCAGCCCACAGAGAAGCTGTCCTTCAGCCAGGGTCCAAAATGAACACAAAATTAAGGTCCAAATGCAAGTAAAAATCACCAATTGACTGGTAATTTGATCAGGATCTCTAAAGCCGCGTTTTCACTGCAGGAACTTTCCCCAGGAACTAGGGACTTTGGGCCGGTACTTGGTGTGTTTCCACCACAGGAACCAGGATCTAAATAAAGTTCCGGGTAAAAAATTGCCCCTCAGAAAGTCCCTGCTCTAATGAATTTCTGAGATTAAGATTTAATGTGGATTGTAATATTTGTCAATTCTGTAATAATGATGTAGAAACTACATTTATCAGAACTTATTTCTTCATTGTAATTTGGTTAATTCATTTTGGACTGAAGTATGTAATTGGATTAAACAAAGAATATGTATTTTTCCATCTATTACTTGGGACATGGTGAAATTTGGAGAACATTTGGAGGGCAAAAGTGTAGACTTTGTTGTAAATTGTTTACTTCTCATATTAAAATACTTTATTCACAAATGTAAAATTCTGAAAACTGCACCCCAGTTTAATGTCTTTAAAAAGGAGCTTGCCATGTATACAGAGGTCCTAAAAATTATGAGAAGTGATAAGGCCAAGAAATTATTTGATTTGTTTAATAAGTGTGATTTTGTTTAATCCCCTACATTGTTTATGGTTGCATGAATGTATTTTATTTTATGTTATTTGGATTAATGTCTTGTATGGCGGTTTGTTTCTCTGTTATAGTATGAATAAAATGAATGTCTCAGTCTGTGGGGACTTACAGTTCAGTTTAAGTTAGCCTATTTTGTTCTATTAAGATGTTGTTGAAATGCAAAATAAATGTTTTATTTTTTTTAAATGTGGAGGGAAAGGAGTAAAATCCATGGAATAAGAGAGAGAAAAAAACTTTTTCCAAAGGTCCGGAACTTTCGGGGGCGGGACTTGGGTGCTGAACATGGTGATTCGTTGAGTTAATGCAGCATTGTATTTCAACCACCATTTATTCTATTTTATTTTTTTTAATATTACTGTTATTGTGTCATGAAATGTAGTATTTCAGGCGAGAATGTAGTTGTTTAAAACTCAAATCTGCGGTTTAATTATAAAGACAGCGCCTATTTGAAAATGTGCTTCGCCGACTTCGGAGACGTGAGCTCCACGCGATCAGCGGGTGTTCAGTGCTTATGTATCCCGACGAGAGCAGCCTCACCTCGGCTAGTCCTTCTGACATATACCGCTGGCTCTGATGTCTCTGTAGTGGTTAAACATGAGATATAATTCGTCTTGGGTAAATCTAAACAGGTAATCTTTGGTCTTTATTCTATTCATCTATTAATATGTTAAAATGTAAATGAAAACAGGCAATGTTTGATATAATATTTTGTTTCATTGTAATGTAGGCCATGTACGTTATCTGAACATTTCTGCAGCTATTAATATGTTTAAATGAAAACGAAAAGAGGCAGTGGTGTTTGATTTCATATTTCGTCTTATTGTAAATACAGTGAGGAAAATTGCAGTAGCCAAGGCAAGCTGACTGACGTTATCAAGTACGCTGCTGTTTGCAGAATCACCGGACTTGCGTCGTCCCGTCCTCGAGTCCAACTCGCAAAGTCCGCACTACC